CACCTCCAGGGCAGGCAGGGATTGAACTCATGCGGAAGTGGCTTAAGCTTCTTAGTGCAGTGCTTTAACCCGCTGTGCCACCAGGGAGGGCCACATTTGTGTAGTTTTTTATATGAACCTAAATTAAGTCTTTTCTCTGGGCTACTGTAATTAATAGTAATTTTTGAAAAATACTATTTTGTATCATTATGAGCATATATAAGTAATCTAGTTTCTCTGAATCCTCACCAACATTGAGTGTTATCACTGCTTTTATTTTAAGCATTCTGATAGACATGTAGTAGTATCTCAATATCGTTTTAATTTGTATTGACTGAAATAATTGCTGCTTTGATGCAAACTTTGTTTACTGAAGGGGAAATTTATTAAAGAAGTTACTCAGAGCCAAATAGAGGAATCTAGGTCTGGAGACTTCCTGAGTGCCTAGAGCCAGCCCTAGAAGTTTTTGGCTTCAGTTATTCAGATAAGTTACATGCCCAGGAAGAATACTTAATTTTTTTTTCTTAATGAAAGAAAGACAACATAGTTAATTTTTTAATTTTTTATTATTAATTTTTAATATTTTCAGTTTGACTAAAGGAATTTTTGTTTCTAGCATTCCCAGTTAATTAACAAAAGAAAAGTGTTTTTTTATAACTTCAAAGCAATACCCTATCTTGCAGAGTTAATTTAGTGAGAGGTATCCGCATTATTTGAAAATCTTATTTTTAAAAATACCAATAAATAGGAGGCCTTTATGTATTTTCTCTTCCATATGATTTTTTAAACATTTTTTTCCTCTAGCTTACTTTATTATTCTGATAAAATAGTGTAGAAACATCTAACATACAAAATAATGTATAATTCAACTGCTTATGTTATTGGTAATGTTTCCAGTAAGAAGTAGACATTAGTAGTTAAGATTTCAGAGAGTTAATAATTATATCTGTGGATGTATGGAGGGCACCCCAGCCCACAAATTGTTCAAAGATGAACTGTAGTTTGAACATTAACACTATTCATATGTGTTACAGACAAAATTCTTTTTCCTTACTTTTGTATTTAGAAAGATTCTTCATAAGAGAAACTGTGTGCTATTATAAAATTCCTTAAAGTGTGACAAATAATGTTAATTGTAATTACTATATACAAATGATGAATTTTTTTATATTCTTAGGTCTGGAGAAAATGACGTAGAATACAACAACATGGAACTAGAAGAGGGAGAACTCATGGAAGATGTAGCTGCTGCAGGACCTCCAGGTACAGAAATGAAACATACAAACCATTCTGATTTCTATTTGCTCATCTGACTGAATCGTTTTAATATATGGCAACCCATGGTATCAGAAGCAATTTATTTTACATATGAATTTTAGAATGTACGGCTAATGATATTAAATCAGTAATTAATAGCTAACATTTGACAAATGTTCTTCTGTACCAGGCACTGTGTACAAGTACTTTATATGTACTGTGTCTCACAGAATTCTTTGAGATAGGGTTTAGTATTATTTACTTTTTATAACTGTAGAAATTAATGTAAAGAGAATGAAGCCACTTACTGTATTTTTACACATTAGTAAATAGAGGAAATAGAGTTCTGCATTTGAATGTAAATATCATGGTCTTCTATTGTATACTGTCTTCGTGTAATATTTGTCTGGTTTGTATATTTAAACTCAGAATAATATCAACAGAGTCATTGAATCTTTAACTTAACAAAGGACCTCTTGAGAGCTCATATTATACGTGGGAAAAAACACTGAGATTTAGTTGCCTAGATTGCATCAGTAATTGGTCAAGCCAGATTGCAACCCCACACCATCTTCTTGTTCCACCCAATTTTTTGTCAGACCTCTGCCTGTAAGGTAGACTTAGTGGTGTTTCTTATGTGTTCTTATATCTGTTAAGTATGAAGAATTTGGCTAGAACAATTATAAAGTAGCTTTATAGTGCTTCTGTTACACTGGTGGTAGTGCCCTTTGTATATACACTGGTATATTCTGTTGTGTGCTTGGACAGCTAAATAGCTCTCATATACTTGTCCTTAGCATTTCAACTTCATTCTACGTCTTGTGGTCTCCCTACTCTTTACTTTATTACTGACTGATCTCACTCACTTGCGTGTGCTATGTGCTGATTACTCTCCAAGATTTCTCTTTTCTCATAACTTCCAGACCTATGTAGCCATCTTAATCTTAAGCAATTTCTATACTGAAGCTACTAGCTAATCATCTTTAGCTTGTCTGTCAGTAATAACCACCATTTACTTTTTCCTTTTCTTCAAATTCTAATGTTACCAAAACCTCTTGATTCTACCACCTGAATAGTGCATAAATTAATTTATTACAGTATGCTTTTGTTGTTTCTAATCTAGCTCACTATTTTTTTTAAGTCTCTCTTGGTTTCCTAAGCATCCATTATTGCTTCTGTCCATTCTGTTTTCCATAGCATGAGTTCAGAATGAGAATTTTTTTCCCCCTTCTAGTTAAACATCTGATCATGTCACTTCTCTACTAAAACACCTTATTAGATTTCACTTACTTATAGGAGACAGTCCAAAGTCATTTATATGTCAACACAAAACCTTTCATGTCATTTTCTTTAACCTTATTCATATCCCTGTGTCAGTTTTTAGCCAAAGGAAATCTTTTATCATCTCAAATGAATGGTATTTCTCATGTCTTTTTCTTTCCAATATATTGTTCCTTTTACATCTTAGGCATAGTTAGCTCCTACTCCATCTTTATTTTAGCTTGTATTTGACTTCTTCCTGGAAGACTTCATGACTTTTTACTGTATCTTTTCCTGCTCTCTCAAATTCATCAAAAAGATCATATGTAAAACATGTGGTGATTATTTACTTTTAAAGATTTTATTTATTTTTGCATAGGAGAACTGGAGTGTAGGCCAGTGAGGGGGTGAGAGGATTCACCAGAGACAGAGTGGGGAGCAAAACTGGCAGTTCTACCAAAACACATTGCTGAGGAGAGCTGTAGGCGAGACAGGAGAGGTCTGTTGTGCCATATATGGATCAGCTCACTGGCCAGGGATTAAACTCAGGCTGTCACAGTGATAACTCTGAGACCTAACCCCTAGGCCACTAGAAAGGACCCCTGGAGATTGTTTTTTTAGCTGCCCATTTTCCTTTTCATCTCTGAGCACTAAGAGGCCAAGAAAATCTGTCTCACTTATTTTTGTATAACTAGCACATTTAATACAAGAAGTGATTATTTAATATTTTTCAGATAAATATTAAGCAGATATACATTATTAGTAATTGTTGGATGTAATCTTCAAGGTTTCAAGTAATAAAAATATTCAGAGACTATCTTGGTGTGAAATGAAGATGAATGTTTTTCAGTCTCGGTTTTTAGGTATATCATCTCTTTTACTGTATTGTAAGAAATTCTCATAAATAGAATTTTAGCACACTGAGTAAATAAGAGATTGTATTTTTAAAATTGTTTCACCAAGTATTTATTGAGCACTTAAATACAACTGAGTATGGTCTTATTATCTGGACATACAGTATTGAATAGAAAGATCCCCATCTCATGAGCTTATGTTCTGTAATTCTGTATTTATAATTTATAAGACAAATTTTCATATACCTATTATAATTCAGACAATGAAGTCTAGGTATTGAGGATTGTAGTGAACGAAACAGTTTTTATTATGTGCAGCAAGGAATTTTATATATTTGGCAGGCATTTGTTGAAAGCCTTTTCCATTTCTGGAAAATATAATGGAAAAGACTTAAGTAATTTATATAATCTACTTAAGGAGATTAAGTAATTTATAATCTGTATGCACAATTTGCTAAATGTAAGACATACAAAATAATCCCTAATGGCTTCTTTAGGTAGCTCCTCCCCATTAAGAGTTTAAGCATAACTCCCTAATCTTAAACTTGTGGGCTTATGCTAATAATGACTTGCTTGTAAATAGTACGGTACAAGTGAAATAATTTGTCATGTTGATAGCATGTATCTTTGATATGAGATTAGCTCTGTAGTGGTGGCCTCCCAAAAGTCTGTAAACATAATTTGACTCTGATATAAGTACCACATCACTCAAATTAAGGAAAATAGCTGACCAGTGCTACTCAAAATTCAAGTACATCAGAAACAAGAAAAGTTGGAGAAAGTGTCATAGACAAGATGCATTAAAAAGAAATGGTCAGAAAAAAAAATCCACCTAAAAAAGAAAAAGAAAAAAATGATCAGGGGCCCTCCCTGGTGGTATAGCAGGTTAAAGCACAGTACTAAGAAGTTAAAGCCACTTCAGCATGAATTCGATTCCCACACTGGAGGTGACCCACCTGGAGCAGCAGACCTCTCCTGACATGCCCGCTACTCCCCTCAGCAGTGTACTTCATCAGTCTGCCTGTTCTGCTTCCCCCTCTGTCTTCGGTGAACCCTCTCACTGCCCCTGTATGTCTGGCCTGTACCCCAGTTCTATATGTATAAATGAATGAATGAATGAATAAAATAAATATCAAATAGATGTAATTTTACATTCTGGATATGGGGCACTGGAACACTGGAAGTCCATTAGGGGAAATTTAATGAAGCCTGGTTAAGAAAGTAGAATTTAGTTAATAACTTATTAATACTGGTTCATTAATTGTGATAAATGCATCACTATATACAAGAATTTGCTGTGGTGTCTTTACACCTTTTCAAAAAAGTAAAATGCTGTTTATGGGAGTATTGAATATGGAGGTAACTTGAAGCAAGAAATAGTGGTTTAAGTGTCCTTATTACCCTAAGAATTACTTTTAGTTTTTACAGTTATCTTCACTTAGTTGACAAGAGAACTTTCTTTTAAAAATATGAACTGAAAAGGTTATAGGTATCATTATAACCTAGACTATTAACTAGTTAAATGTGATTAAGTAGGGCCTCCCTGGTGGTATAGGGGTTAAAGTCTCAGTGTTATCAAGCTGTTGCTATCTACTGCAGCGTGAATTCAATCTTTAGCCAATGAATGAACCCACATGGTGCAGCAGACCTCTCCTGCCTTCCTCACTGCTTCCCTCAGCAGTGTATTTCAGTAAATCTGTTTTGCTCTCCACTCTGTCTCTGGGAAGCCCTCTTATACCCTGTACCTCTGGCCTACACCCCAGTTCTTATATGCATAAATTAATAAAAATAATTTTTTTAATGAGCAAAGTAGCTCATGAGCTGGCCTTTTATGATTTATAAAACATTATAATAATATTTATTATTTGAAGTTTGAAAGTATAATAACAGTTCTAAAACTGAAACTGTTTTATAACAAACATTTCTAAAACTGAAACATTTAGTTATTTCAGGTTAAACATGTTTAAGATTATTTCACAGATGTTTTCTTTAATCCCACTACTTATCAGCATTGTGTTGTTCATTAGGATTATAAAATGAATGATTTTCTGCTGTTTAATAGGAGTTGTAGTGGGCAGAAGCTGGAGAGAAAGTGACCAATAGGATGATAGTCCTTGGAATAGGGAGAGGGAAAAGTAGAAGTGAAGAAGACGTGACTATAGATGAAAAACATACAAATAAATATGCCTCTGAATAATTGAATTTTTCTTTTTTTAAAGGTTTATTTATTTATGCATACAGAACTGGGGTACAGGCAAGAGGTGCAGGAGTGGTGAGAGGATTC